TGATATTATTGCGTAGAAAATATTAACAGTTATATACGCATGGGGTGTTCACAACATCCCGCGCGAGTAACGGAGGGTTAAGGTTGATTGCCTGATATGTAGCTTTTGATTTTTTATGTGTCACTTTTGTATGATAGGTGTAATCCTGCTCTGTAATGTTCTAGAGGTTTCTCCTATATATACTTTGTCAGAATTTGAGCATGGTATTTCATTCACAACCCTTAAAGTTTCATTTAATGTCAAAGGAGCCACAGATTAAATAAATTGGATAAGACAAGGTCTTAACATCTTTTGTAGCGATTTTAAAGTTTTGGTCTCTAAATAACTTTATGAGTTTCGGTATTAGATCAGGAATGTATGGAAGTGATCCAAATGTCGTTCGTAATTCTTTTGTTGAACTATTTATTGCTGCATCGTTTTGTGAATGGTTAGTCGATGTTGTTTAGTATTACATGCGATTTTACAATCACAAGTAAAAACCAACAAATTGAACAAACAACATCGACTAACCATTCACAAAACGATGCAACAACAAATATGCGCGTTAATAATACAGATAAAATGTACTCGCAAGACTCTCAAACGGGAAAACAAAAAAATTCTATTATTCAAATACCTATTTTGTTTTTTGTTTTCCTGTTTGCAAGACATATCATTACATTAAATGTATATCAAAGATGGGAAGCTACAGAAACTCGAGGAAAAAGCAGGTTAATGCAAATGAATAATACAGATAAAATTTTTATCTGTATTATTCATTTGCATTAACCTGTTTTTTCCTTGAGTATCTGTAGCTTCTCGTCTTTGATATACCTCGCGTTTTTAACAATTGGCAAAAACATGCATATAGAGCAAGGGAAGCGTATTTTACTGGAAAGATAAATGAACGAAATTAACTATATTTGCAGCCAAAACTTGTCTAGCAACTTATTATCACTTTATTTTCCTAATTTTAAAAATGTGTAAAAATGTGAGTTTGATGTACGTTATGAACGTAGTGATCCTGCAATGGAATCTTGTCATTATCATCATCAGTTGGCGCTACGGACCTTCGTGAGCACTTGTCTGCCTTAAAACATTCTTCCATCTTTTCCTGTCGAGTGTCTGTCTTCTCCATCCCCCTACTCCAATCTCCCTTAAATCGTCCTGCACATCATCCAGATACCTAAGTTTGGGTCGCCCCCTTTTTCCGACCGGCTTATTTAGCATGGTTATTTTAAAAGGATCACTTTCATCTATCCACATAATGTGACCCACCCATCTTAGGCGGTTTATTATGATGGTTTTAACGATATCTACATCACCAAAAAGTCTATAGAGCTTGAAATTATATTGCCTTCTCCACAGACCCTGTTAGATAACTCAGCTATATGGTCCTCAATATTTTTCTTTTAAAGATTTGTAGTAACTCTTCATATTGAGTTGTCAATGCCCAAGTTTCCGATCCTTAGGAGAGCACTGGTCGTATTATTGGTTTAAAAAGTTTGCACATTGTTAGATAAATATTGTTTGCATATAATTTTTAGCATATTTCTTTTCTCATTTCTTTGTGTATGTTGTTTTTCAAGTCAACCAGTAACGCTAAGTAGCTGAATTCCTCCACCGTTTCTATAGTTTCGTGTTACACCTTGAAGTTATTTTGTTGCGTTCTTGAAATAGCCGGCATATTTTTAGTTTTCTGGGAATTAATCAGAACTTTAATGTTTTCTGTGGCTTTTTTAATATGTGTGAAAACTTCAACTGCTTCATTTCGGGTTCTTCCAATAATCACGATTTTATCACAATATGCTATTATTGTATAATACGAATATACAAATGTGATGGGATTTTAGTACAAGTGGTATCTTGTACTAAAAGTATATTGAATAAATTGAAGATGGAATTAGACAAAAAACTTAAAAGTTAAACTAAGAAGTAGACGGGGAATATATATGTGAAATATTATGAAATAGCGTTCACTGCCAGCAAAGTTTATCAACCTAATTAGATTATTCTATGAGATATACACCATCATCATCAGTGGTGCTACAGCTCTAGTTGAGCCTTGACCTTCCCCAGTCTATTTCGCCAGTCGTTTCTGTTCATCGCCAACCGTTGCCAATTTGCCGCGCCGATTTTCCTTGCGTCCTCGTCCACACCGTCCCTCCATCTCAGTCGTGGTCTGCCTCTACTCCTATTTCCCACTGGGACCGATAATAGAGTTCGTCTGGGTGGGTAATTTTCATTTGCTCTTGACACATGTCCAGCCCATCTAAGCCTACCTATTTTTATGAAGGATATTACATCTCTACCATTTACTATTTTTTTATACTTCTCGTACAATTCGAAATTATATCGCCTTCTCCAAATACCATTCTCACAGAATGCGCCCATTATTCTTCTTAGTATCTTCCTTTCGAAGACGAGCAGAAGATTTGCGTCTGTTTTGGAGATGGTCCATGTTTCTGACCCATATGTCAGCACTGGTAGGATGAGTGTTCGATATATGATTAGTTTGGTTTTCTGGCTTAAATTTCTGCTTTTTAGCTGCTTGCTTAGTCCAAAATAATATTTGTTTGCTAGCAGTACCCTCCGTTTAACTTCTTTAGATGTGTCATTATCATTTGTTATGAGAGAACCCAAATATGTAAACTTATTTACTACCTCAAAATTGAGATATACACAGCCTGCTTAAAATATCAAGAGAAATAACAAAAGAAAATGAAAAAAAAAATGAATGTAAACAAATAGCCAAAAAAAAATAAAAATAGATGAAATTGAGATAAAATAAACAGATTTACATATCTGAAATCAAAAATGGAAAAAAATGCAGATGCATTTCAGATATACCTAAAATAATAACAAAAGCACAATAACATATCACTTCTTTAAATAAATATGAAGCATATTCAATATATCAAAATCAACAAAAATCATAATATCAAACAGTTACATTATGATTATTATGATCCGAAATATTGGAAGCATGATGAAGCAACACAAAAATATTGCAAATATTGCAAAAACTTGTTAATTGACACCAGAAATATCCCAAAAATATATTGTATTGAGAAAATATTGAATTTAGAACAACGAAAAAGAACCAAAAAATGAAAAAATGAGTAAAAATAAAATAAAAATAAAATAATAAAAAAAAAGTAAAAATTATCAATAAAAGAAGTAAATGGAAATGGATTGGGCATACACTAAGGAAAGATTAATATCATTAGTAGTACCTATCTAATGATATTATCACTAATATCATTAGATAGGTACTCTTGAGAGATCTCAATCGAAGATCAAGAAATACAGATGATTCGAGATGACTTTTCTAAATAGCTAGAGAATATTTCAATGGAATAACATAAACAGGATGTACCGATATAGTGAATTAGCCTCATTTCTTTGTTGGTACCCAATGTAAATAATACTTCATTAGGAGGGACTACGCCAGAAATATTATAGCAAGGAAACGTCCATAATTGAGACACGTTATGAAAAGTGACAAATATGATATAAATATAATATATCATATTTGTCACATCTTATATATAAATAAGATAATAAAAGAATACATAATAGAAATAAAAAGATTGGCATGGGTAAAAAATCCGAAGCGATGGCTACAATGCAGCACAACAGAACTATTTAAAGCAGTAGTGGATTAAATAAAAACTGGCAGGATGATATGTAACCTTTGTTATGAGATGGAACTGAAAGAAGAATATGAATCGGAACTATTAGCCCAAATATTATATTTTTGTAGCTGGTTTGTTAGCTATATTAGTCTTAGTGTAATGACTTCAAAAATGTTTACGTATTAAAAAGGTACTACTCTTTGGGGATGGGAAAAACCTACCGGTTTTAACCGAAAACCGGTTTTTTTACTTCGAAATAACCGGTTTTATCGGTTGTTTTTTTGTCCCGGTTATAACCGTTTTTTTATTTTTAAAGTAAAAACCGGTTATTAGGTTTTTACAGTGATTAGGATTAGGTTAGGTATTATTTTGGATCCCACCCAATCATAATTATTATTCTCAAGTAATTATTCCAAACAAAACTAAAATTCAATTTTTATTTTATTTTATAAATACAGAAGCAAACTGAAAGTCACTCACATCAGCCAGAAACAATTAAATTTTATTATAGTATTTCGTTGAAAAAGTATTTGTAATCATAATATTCTTACATAAGAACTGATCTGGTATTTATACATCATCTATTTTTCACACTTGACTCTTGACATTGAAAGTGGGTAAATGGCTTTTTCTGATTACCAAAAATAATGACTATGAATATCGAGTTACCGATTACGAATACGAATCTCCAAGGATTTCCCTACGTTTTCAAAACGATTTATACCCATACCGGAAGTCGTAAATGAGTTAAAAGTAATACATGATAATTTTTTTTGATGGTAGTAAAAATAAAAGATGAATTGCATTATCCAATTTATTTTTAAGTAAAATATTTATGTTGATATTATTTTCTTTAAATCCCATTTGAAAGAGTCTGGGAAATTTTTGTTGGGGAATTTTTTTCTCAAAAAACACAAAAAATTGTGTTGTATTTACATTGATATTGATGTTCTTTCGATAGTACTAATTTTGATCATATTGATATCGAGTCGAATGTAGTATCGCAAACTAAAGTGCATTGTAAATGTAACTTTCTAATCTATTGGAATAAAAAAAACCGAAAACCGGTTTTTGCAAAAACCGGTTTTTTTGGCCGGTTATAACTGGCAGGTTAAACCGTAAGCAAAAAAAAACGGTATAACCGAAAACCGGTGTTTTGTCAAAAACCGCCATCCCTACTACTCTTACATTATTATTCACTGTTTTTTTACATTCTGATCACTGGATACTGGTCTGTATTACTTATTTTATTCGTTGATACTCTATATTTTTATTCGCTTTCAAACCTTCACTTTAACCGAATATTTTGTTTGATACATTTTCATTTTTATTGAGACATTTTTTAGTACAACCAACTTTTTTATCTAAATTACCAATTTTTAGGATATCGATGAAATTCTCAACAAAGGAGATGCATTATATACTGATTGTATATCAGATATACTTAAAGAGGAAGAAATCAAGCATTTGACACAGGTAAATTAAGTTTACACATACCAATATAGTATCAACAAATATTTCCGGAATTTGAGAGAAAAGAAGTTAGATAAATTTTAATTTCATGAATCTAGAAAGCTTAAAATTTATCTAGACTGACAAAAATTTAGCCTTAGTTATGTTCCAGAATGTATTAGTAAAATAACTTTATCGTTAAAATAGATAATCATTTATAGCCAGGTACTCTACATATTCTCGTCGGTCCACGCGTACACATATGTGTACAAATTATTCAAAATTCATATTTTTCATTGTACGTTTCTTAATTTCCATTTGGCGCCACATATCGTTCCTTAAATCACATAATGTCTACTTGTTTATGTAAGAAATATTTTAAATTGATACCAGTATAAATCGTTTTCTAAGGATTAATTTACAAGATAGATTGTATAGTTTTATTTAAATTTTACTTTCTGCAAAGTTATCAGTCATCAAAAAAATTTGTTCACAGATGTGTACATTAGGTTTTAATGCCATACTATTGAAAATGTTTTCTGAAATTTCATTCGAAATAAATCTACTTTTTTTAATATTTAGAAGCTGTAGAATCTTTTTTATATTACTTTTTCTAGAATAAACACTATTTAGCGAAAAATGTTTCTTTTTTATTACCTCTAATACAATTACAAGTAAAATGTACACATGTTAATATAGTGTTGTATGAACCCAACGGTCACATATGTGAACATATTTTTTTTATATTTAAGAAAAAAAACCTTGGTAAAAATTGTTTCGATAACATATTTGGAAGTCATTCAGATCAGAAATTAATAAAATAACTCTCTGATTAATTTTGCATAAGCTCGGGTCTGGCGAGGATATAGAAGCCAATGAAAACAAAAGAAAATATTTTGCGTTTATGATCTAACCAATTTTTAATCAGATTTTCTTTAAAAGATTGATAGAAATTGTTCTATCATGAAGTGACATTATCCATAATTATTACACCATTTTTTAAAATTTGTCGAATATACTCTACAAAGATATCTATAGTCATTTTTTTTTATAATTGCATTCGATTGGTTAACTGAAACTTTAGTAAAGCACACGAGACCAAAAGCTGAGCTTTCTTGAAAAAATATTCCTTTTTAAATAAAAAGATATTCTTTACAAAAAAAAATATTTCATTGTAAAGAAAAAACTTGAGTTCTACCAGCCAATAGAGCAAGCGGGATTTCGTACCGGATTTGGAACAAATGATCACATACAGAGCATTAAAACGGTAATAGAAAAGACTATCGAATACAATCGACCACTCCTTCTGGCTTTTGTAGATTTCCATAAAGCCTTTGACACGGTAGAATTTGACAAAATCCTGGAAGCACTACAAGCATGCCGCATTGACTACCGATATACAAGGTTAATTTACAATACATACAAGAACGCAACTATGTCGGTGAAACTACATGAAAACACGGATCATATCCCAATCGGCAGAGGAGTCCGACAGGGTGATACCTTATCGCCTAAACTGTTTACTGCAGTACTAGAATATGCTTGTAAAAAACTTAACTGGGAAGAGAAAGGCCTGAACATTGACGGTAGAAGATTAACAAATTTGAAATTCGCAGACGACATAGTTTTGTTCTCGGACAACCTCAAGGAGATATGTACAATGCTACATGAACTTCAGTTAGTGTGTGCCAGTGTGGGTCTTAAAATAAACATCTCCAAAACAAAATTCATGACAAACCTAGTACCTAGCGGAAATATCAATATTGGAGACAACGAAGTAGAGCTGGTGGAAAAATACATATATCTTGGAACACGAAATAAAGATCACAAGAGACAACCAAACATGCGAACTACGAAGAAGAATAAACCTAGCATGGGCAGCCTATGGAAAACTCAAAGACATCTTTAAAAGCGATATACCAATTTCTTTAAAACGTAAAACATTTGACCAATGTGTGTTGCCTGTGATGACCTATGGTGCCGAAACTTTGACATTGACAGCTACAAGTTCTAAAACGCTGCAAATAGCTCAGAGGAAAATGGAAAGATCAATGCTGAGTATATCGCTTCGTGACCGAGTTAGAAATGAAGACTTAAGACGAAGAACAGGAGTTACCGATGTAATTTCCCGAATTGCCACACTAAAATGGAACTGGGCCGGACACGTCGCTCGAATCAGTGATGAAAGGTGGACGAAGAGATTGCTTGAGTGGAGGCCGTGGTTAGACAAAAGAAGTAGAGGAAGACCCCCTACACGTTGGACTGACGATCTCAAGAAACATGTCAAGAAATTAGATGAAAAGTGCTCAAAACAGAGCACAATGGACAACAATGAGGTAGGCCTATGTCCAGCAGTGCACGCAAAGGGCTGGATGATGATGAAATTGGGAAAGTAACTTGTTTACCAGTTGCTGTGCTCAACTTTTCCGCTGTGAACATTTTTTTTGTTTTGTTTTTTAAGAAACATGTTTTAGAATATTCTGAACAAAACAGTTTTTAAGTCTAACTTTTTGTCTGAAGTTGACGGTATTCGAATTATAAATTCAGATAAAATTTAAATTTTATATCATTATTAAAATTATTTACTTCCATTAAATATTATACATCTTCTCGAGCCTTTAGCAAATCTGTTAGATATAAGCTATAACCTACACACGATGGACCTTTTATTTGGTCTTGATATATCTAGAAATCTTGTAATCTAATCAAGGTATTCACGCCATCATATGTTTTAAGTCGATTTCATGCATTTTTCCGATGCGGCAACGTAGCAGCGTATGCAGATATATTATGCCATATGTTAAGATAAGAAGAGTCACTAAAAGCATCTCAAGACAACAGCACACAAGATACGGGAACGAGATCGGTGATCCAGCATAGCGAGCGGGACATAATACTTATTAGCGGTCATATATTCATGTATTGTGTTAATTCAAATAAAGTCAGTTTTTACACGGAGTTTGATTATTTACCAGCGACACATTCGAAGTGCAAATCAAGTTACATTCATAAGGAGACATCGAATTTTCTCATAGCAACAGTAAAATTTGTGGAAGCTGGAGGTTCGTCTATAGGACTCTGATTGGGTCCATTAGAACTATTTGGGACAGAGTAAGTGCATTATCAGTATTGTCTTTTTATATATTCTTATTTGTGAACTCAAAAGAGTCATTAATCTTTAACGTATTTTCTGGCCTATCTCTTTTTGTCTCCTGTCTATTTTATTCCCACGAGTCCAAACGAAGTACATAGCAGTGCGAATTTACCATGTCCAGGATCTTATTAGTTCTTAGTACGATATCCTTTTCTCTTTAAAATGTATAGAATTCCTGACTTACGTTGCAGACCGATTAATATATAGTTCTAGTAACCTCATTAGATATTTGCGACATTGTTTTAGGAAAGCAATTATGCATAATAAATAATCAGAATAATTAAACTAAAACTAACAATAAAAGACATATCAATGTCTAATTAGTTTATAGAACAGAATAACTAATACTTAACCTAGATTCCAACAAAAATGCACTAACAAAAAATAGCTAAATGAATAAAGTAAATAAAGGAAAAGATCACAGATAAGATGAAATAACGCTTTAAAGAAACATTCTGGAACAAGATGTCTATAATAAGTTTAACCATAATATTTTATTTGTACTAATTATTTATTTTATATGTTTAGCTTTCCATGAATAAATTAAATAAAATTTTAATACTCAAAAGGTTAAGATTTAAAAAATATATATTTTGTTGAAGATACGAACCGGAAATGTTCTTCCATTGGATCAGACAACTGCAAATGAAGTAATAGAAAATGGTGAGGAAGAAGTTGCCACACCAGAAGAGGATGCCAAAAAAGGTAATGATTTGACGAAATTAGATGAAGAAAGTAAGCCAGAAACAACAGATTTAGAAGGCTCAGTCAAAGAAGGTGATGAAGAAGAGGAAGATGAACACGCTCCAATTCAGATTACTTTAGATAACATGAAAAAGGAATTTAATATTGGACTTAATAAATTTGATCTAGTAGTTGAAACTGAAGCAGAAGGTAATGTATATTTAAATATTTATGTATAAATGGAATCAAAAATATCGTAAGTCTTCTTCCTTCTTTGTGTTCTTCTTTTTACATAAACATGACTATGTGTTTTTCAATGTAAGTTGTCGTTCCATCGTTTTCGTGATCTTCCTACTGATCGTCTTTCTATTGGGTAACCGTCTCTTGCCTATATTTGTTGTCATTCGGCTTATATGATCGTTCCATTCTACTCTTCTATTTCTTACCCAGTTCTTGATGTACTCTTGCATCTACGTCGTATATCTGTACTTCTAGCTCTGTTCCATAGTCTCTTACCATAATTATTCTAAGTGTTTTCATCTCTGCTGTTTCTAACATCTTTTTTGTCCACTCTGTGTCAGGTCTTGTTTCTGCCGCGTATGTCATTATTGGTCTAATGACTGTTTTGTAAATTCTGCCTTTCGTTTCTTTTTTCGATATTTTTATTCTCCATATTGTTTCATTCAGGCAACCTGCGGCTCTGTTTGCTCTATTCACTTGATCTTCCACTTCGTTTCGAGCTTTCCGTAGCTAGATAATGTGATGCCTAGATATTTAAACTCCATCACTTGTTCTATTATCTGACCTTCCAGCTCCAATTTACATCTTAGTAAATTTGCTGTTGTAACCATGCATTTTGTCTTTTTTGGGGAAATTAACATGTTAAATTTTCTGGCGATTATATTAAATTGGTGCAGCATACGTTGTAAATCATCTTCACTTTGAGAGAGTAGTATTGCGTCGTCTGCATAGCAGATTATTTTAAGTTGTTTTTCTTCCATTTGGTATCATTTTTAGTTCTTACTTTTTTTATTATTTCATCCATAATCAGGTTAGGTCTCAGGGAATCTCCATGTCTTATCCCATTGCCAGATTCAATAGGATCGGTTAGTTCTTCTTCTACTTTTACTTTTATTGTGTTGTTTTGGTAGATATATTTGGTAGATATTTTGGATATAGAATCTTTCTTATGATATTTGGTATATCTGCCAAATACCGTAAGTAGGATTTTATATTTAGTTTTCGGTAATAATATACATAATATCTTTCTCTATAAACATTGATAGGTTAGATTAGGTCATTCATAATTTTTATTTCAGAAGTTTCTTGAAAATCATTTCTGGATTGGAAATCGAAACATAAATGCAAATGTAAAATCTAATTCGCATTACAATCAATTGAAGAGTAGAAATAAGAAAGGGTTAAGTGCCAAAAATAAACTTTTTAGATAATCTAAAAAAGTGTATAAAAAAAAGTATAAAAATCTTAGGTAAAGATCCAAAAATATTACTTACAAAAACTTTATTTAGTACATATATTTAACATAAAATGGCAAATCTTTCCCCAGGAATCCTTAGATAGGATGAGACAGAGGTTTACCTAATCTTCTGATAGTGCTAACTGGTAAAATTGGCGGAACGTCTTCCAAACTTGGCACTAGCAGATTTACAACATCATCTCTCAAGAGTCACCAACTGAATGCCATTTCAGCTACTGAACATAGAATACTAAGATACTGCATGAGGAAAGATTGGTCGACCATAGCCACATACCAATCATGACAGAATCTATCCCAGCAGGATATGTCCTAAGAACCATAACTGGCTCGAACAACAGAGCAAAACGAACACTAAAGACGCCTTGCAATCATAGAGGGCAAATACTCACCAGGTTTCCCACTAAGAAAGTTCCGTTTCCTCCAGCAAAACTTCTGCACAACACTGGACATGAACTTCCTGATGAGTATTTTGAAATTCTAGAAACATTCCCCATACAATATCGCAGATAAAGACTGCGCGCCAAAAACGCTGATAAAGAGCCGTTCCTACTGTATGGCTGGTAACCCCTGAAGTACCTCAACTGGCATGCTAGGCAATTCCCACTTCTTCTTGTGCGTTCCTATCGATCACACATACAAGTCACCTTCTTTTCCCCCTGCTCCTTAGTAGTCTACTACTTCTTAACATCGGGCATCTTTTAATTGACGTTTATCACACCCCCACAACTCCGTTAAAAAAAGGGAGTAACCCATTCCTTGAAGAGGCTCAGGCCTAAACAAGGTTAAAACTCGTGTGTCATGTCATGGGTAAGAAAGCTTATTTCAAAATTAACTTACCATAACTAAAAACAATATTTTAACGAAGCAAATTAGGAAAAGACGTCAGTGCTTAGTGTTTATGAGATACATTTTAAGCAGTTTTCTCGTTTTTTTTTCCAAGCATTGTCTTTAATCTGAAGCAGCTGTTTGTAAAAAAGTTGGCGTTCTGAAGACTGTAGATATTGAATTATGCTTTGTATTCTATTTTGTAATACCCTACTCTCTGATGTCAGTTTGACTATATCAGTTTGTCTAAGTTGAGTTAAAATTCCCTTTTTTAAAGACGTTAACCTATACTGGATCTTAAAGATCAGAAAACGAAGTTTTTATCTTAACAAGTGTACAATCGGCTGCTTCAATCATTATACATAAATATTGCTTTACTAATATTTTACTTTTAAATATTAATGTACTCATCTGCTGCTCGGTTTAAGTCACAAAGTCTAAAACTTGTCGTGTCAACAATATTAAAAGGTGGAAAATATCTCTAGAACTTAACTACTGTATGGAGAAGGCACATAAGCTTTAGGTAGTTACCACCTTGCAGTTTTCGGTCAATGGAATATCTTATCACAGGTCACACGATCTGTGACCACTTACTAAAAACGTTTGCTCCATAGTGTGAAAAACTCCGTTAGTTACCAAAAACATCAATATATTTAATAAAATCCTATATTGATTCTGCCCTGCAGTTATCACCACATATTACCAAGGGCTTCTTCAGAGTATACTGCAATTAACAATCTGGAGACAGACATAAGGCAATTTCGTTAGCTCCTCGAGAAGCAACTCCTTCTTGCCACTTACACAGATGGGCCTCATTGGAATCACTAAAATAAACTCCTAAGTTATAGCAAGATAACTGGGACAGATAAAAAATATCGCTATTAGTCAATGATGGAACAAACATGACGTTTTTTAGATTCATAGATACTGTGCTTCTGAGATCTTAAGAGTTGATAGTTTCTTTCTTCAATAATGATCTAGCCCTTTCGGCGTTACAGTAATAAAGCTCTAGTTAAGTTGAGGCAGATCCATCAGACCCATCCTTGGCTTTTATTTAACAATGAAGTTTGTTACATGTACTGCATGTATTAACTTGTGGTATGTGAAAAGATATACCACATACAACTCCTTAATGAACATAAATCTATAAAACTTTGGTGACTGTTGAATATGAGTGCATTTGGAAAAAGGCTTTGAACAATCTGAGAATATTCTAATATAGACCAATGTACTTCTTTACGGATTTAGCTTTTAAATATTGAGCAACATGCTTTATGATTACATTTATGTGGTTTTCTACTATTAAAAGATTAGATTTAGAAAACTTTGAAATAGCATGTGTGGTACGTTTATCAGTTTAATACATTTCATCCAATTTTTTCTTGACTACAATCATGCGCAATATTATATGATTAACAGCAAATGTATCATGAAAGATTTTCTTACATGTCCGGATAAATGTTTCATTACCATTAGGAAATGAGTAGCTTATTATTGCTTGAATTCGACTGTCTTCCTCGTTCTCATACAAACCATTTCCTCTTTTTTTAATGCCACAAATACTTAAAAGCCCCATTAGAAAAGTACCTTGTGTTTTAGCATCGTCTTGGTACAATTTTTAAAAAGTGATCCTTTCCTTTTGCACGTAACAGGTTTACAGTTCAACTTGAACTTGAATTTGCATGCGATCTGCAATACGATCTGCAATACACAAAATACACTAAGTTATAATCCACAATCATTAGGTTTATATTTTAAACCTTTTCATTAGTTTACTAAAGTTGTACAAATGTTTTTTGTAACTACTTCAGTAAGTTTGTATGTTTTTGTATGGCGCTCTAACGGATTTTAAGTGTTTCTGTTCACTGCCAAATGAACCGTTTCCTTTAGGTCTTTTTTTCTATTTTCTTACATTTTAATATATTACAATCAACCATTATCCCTCACAATAAAAGCACACAGCTGACACATGCAGATGGCTAGAAGTAGCGACATCTTTTTAAAGAAAATGGTGGTTACATACAGCCACCGACATCTATTATAAGCCCCTGAAACTATAATTTTTGTGCTGCCCCTTAAAACTTTTCTAAGAACGACAAGCGGAGACCTTCAAACATTTCTACGTCAGTACCTCAATTTTGAACAAAAAATTGGAACTTTGGCTTTTGCCAGATTCTACTCTTCAATTGTGTAGTTAAGTATCATAAAAATAGTAACTAATTTAAACATGCCACAATAAAAGAGTTTAAGAACCACGAACGAATTAGTTTTAAAATTTTTATAATATTCCATATGTTTTGTAGCTACTTCAGTAAGTATATTATGTTTTGTATGACGCTCTAACTGTTTTTAAGTTCACTGCTAAATGAACCAGTGCCTTTGTTTTTTTTTCTGATTTTCTTTCATTTTAATACACTACAATTAACTATTATCCCTCACAACAAAAGCACAGAGCTGACATAAGCAGATATCTAGAAGTAGCGACTTCTTTCTAAAGAAAATGGTGCTTACATATAGCCACCGACATCTATGAGAAGCTCCTGAAACTCAAATTTTAATGCTGGCAGTTAGAATGACATGCGGGGACCTTCGAGCATTTCTACGTCAGAAACTTAATTTGAAAAAAAATTAAACTTTGACTCTTGCCAGATTCCACTCTTCAATAGCATAGTTTAATCTCACAAAAAAAAAGTATCTAATTTAAACATGCCACAATAAAGTAGTTTAAGAACCACGAATTAATTTTAAATTTTGTATAATATTCCATATTTTAGGTACCGTGCGACCAGATTTAAGAGACGCTTTAAAATCATACTTTGAAACACCTCAAATCAACGAAAATTTTCACTGGGAACTTATGATAATTACTAAACCTTATTCCGTAATC